ACTAGCCAGCTGCTTAGGTTACCTGACTTAAAATAGGTCGGCGATGACCCAAATATTTGGACAAAAGACGTCGCAGCTTACTTTAAACGACTATCCTGGTATTTACGATACACCGTGAAGAAACCGAACAGTCACGAATGCTGACGTACTGTCGTAAAATAGAAGCCACGACCTCCTGACCACAAATCATGAGTTCTGAACAGTACACAGCTGTAATGGTGACATATTTTTATGACAAACTATAATCTAAATGAAAAATAAATTGCCCTCTTTTATGAGTGAGTACAATACGTATGGTAAATACGTACACAGCAATCTAGCCTCTAAAATTATGCAGTTCAAGTAAGTGGACATTCGGTCCCTTTTCCTGATAAGGGTTGAATAATTGTGAGATTAGTATTTATAGTAGAAGTAGAATTGCTAGCAGAGCTCCAGTATAAATACGAGGCTTCCAGGAAACATTTTAACCACCGCTATCTTAGTGGCTGTTTGCCCTAAAGACCCACTGGAATAATATGGCTGGCTTTAAAGCGCCCTCACAGATAACGACTTTTGAATCATTTTTTAACTTCGTTGTCTTGTTTTTAGAAATAGGCTTTAATCGATAGTACGCTTGCAGTAATATAAAACGTCTTGCATGCAGAGTTGGTGGTTGGAATCTACTATCAGCTGTGAGTTCATTTAATGTTTCCTCTCTGCTGATGTTGTCTGCCACAGCAATCTTGTTTAGTATGTTTCTCAAGTGCCAAATGGTGAAGCATGAAGATGACAAATGAGACTGCAGAATGAATGAAACATGCAACTGGGCACAGAATACTGTGTTATTCAACTGACAGTAAATTATGATAAGGCATAAAATACCTGCTTAACGATAACCTTTATAATCTAAAATGATTATGACATACGACTGAACATACAGGAGCAAAGGTTGATTTTTAAAACCGCTAGTAAGTTAAAAGTTAATTTTAATACTCCGCTACTTCAGCGTTCTTTTGTCAAGTTGGGGTCAACACATGTTTTAAAAAACAAATACCAAGTTTTCTGTTACATTTATATTCCGAGTCATCGCACACTCCCCGTCGATTTTCCGTTGGTTTGACAGCATCATGCCATATCGCTTCGCGAGAATTTTCTTGGCTTGGCATTGATATTTTGCATCGGCAACGTGTCGATACGCGTCGCGACCTAATCGTCGGTCCTAGGCTCATCTACGCGAAAGACGTCATCTTGTGCCATAACGCCTACCGTCGGATCTTTGGTCGTAGGTTCAAATGAGTCATGTATGTCATCCCGAGGCAGTTCTGTATCATTAAATACTTTAGAAAAATTATTCCTAACCCCAAAATCTTCACCGATATTCGAACCCAGGGCAGTTTTCGGGTGTGTAATTTTAGTTCCAGCAATATCCTCTCATAAACGAACAAATTCCGCCTTGGCGACGTTCTTCTCTTGTGCTTAGTTTTGGAGCTACATAAAACTTCCTTGCCAGGACTCGAACCCAGGACAGAACTCGTTGTTGTGGTGCCTGTTTCTTTAACTCTTCTTCAAATCAAACAACTTTGGTCTTTGCGCCGTTCTTCTGTCGTGCATAGTAACCGAGTCACAGCTAAAATCTTCACTGGGAATCGAACCTAGGAAAATTGTTCGGAATTCTGGTGTGTGTTTCTATAATCTTCTCTTCGAAACAAATAACTTTGGTCTTAACGTTATTCCTCTATCGTGTTTAGTTTCCGAGCTAAAGGAATAAACATCAGCGGAAATCAACTCAAGACAACTTTTCCGGAGTTTTTATGTCTCCGTGATCTCTTTCTAGTATAAAAAAATAAGAATGTAAATTTTGGTGCAAATCGGTATATTCCTTCCCGAGCTATAAGCAAACAAACACATAAACACAAAATTTTAAGATATATGCGAGGTTGTTTGGCGAGCTTCGGGCTTAAAAGAGTTAATGACCACGTGTTTAAAAAGGGTAATAAAACTCAGTAAAGATTAATGAGCCAAAGAAAACAAATAAAACATGAGTGCACCCATACATTAAGAGAATGAATGATAAAATGATGATGTGTCATGTCTCCAGGTATGTGTAGTCCTTGACCATACTTTGACGGCTACATGAACCATAACTCATTTTTGATGTATTTTCATAGTTACTGCCGATTATTCGACTTCATTGTAACGACCCTTTTATAATAAACTGAAGATAATTTAGCTGTTCATGAATTACGGTGTTGATACTGAAACTGAATATTCATCACGGTGATGAAAATACCTGTGATTGTACCATACACAAAGCAGCAGAGTTGGAGTTCACAATTCAGTAACCTGTTTCTCCAAGGTATGGACTAGTTTCATCTGGCTCAAAATGAACAACAGTGACAGGCTTTTTTGGATACGGTAATGAACATCATGGTTCCACAAAAGGTGCGGAATTTGACTAATGATCTGTGCACTCCAGTAACACAATCTTCCTTGCTTATAACGAAAAGCTCACAGAGCGAAAATTATAATTAATGGACGAATGGTGGAACAAATCATTACATGTAATCATTAGGGCTGCAATACGTTATAATTCATCCAATGATGTCGAAATTAAATTCTACAAATGCGTACACATCACCCTTCCCTTCATTCGAACCTACATAACCTGCGTGGCTGACGTGGCATCCCTAAATTAACCAATCACCAGCTACACATTTATCACAGTCCACAACAAATTCATTTGTTACTTTCGCTGAAGTCGTAACCTGTGATTAAATGTTAAAACTTTCGAGAATTTTATTCTCAAATAAACATGCGAATGAAACAATTCAACTGTAATACAAGTCAGAAACTATGATGTTAAACAATTACCTTAGTTTAAGTACTGATGGGTGTGCGTAGCTCCAATGTCAGCGTTCACGTTGCTAGAACAGAGCAGTACCTCTACACACCCGTCATTGAAGCACACGAAAGCAATCACGTGAAGCACATCAGCTGATGACGCAATGCCATCAAACCTGGCAGGTGTTCCGTGTAGCATAGCCTCAGTCTAATGCCTCAACCGCGTCAGAGCAAGAATCAGTTGTCAAGATATTTGTTACGCTTCACGCCATGAATTAAGTTAATTATTCAACCTTCGTAGCCAATATTCAGTAATCACAACATAGACATAGGACAATTTTCGAAAATTTTAACGTCAAATATTTTTTATACGTGTTTTAAAAATATGAAATCATTTTTTTTTTCAACGGTCTCACATTATAAGAGAACTGTTATCAAACATCTTTCCTTTTATTGAAATAAAAGGAGGTCTTATGATATAGTAAATCTCCCCTAAATAATTCTTGAGCAAACTGATTTGTAATCTGTGTTGTGCTTAACCAAATGACGTATTTTAAATAAACTCGGTAAAACATTATGTCACCAAAAACAGCTCCAGGTACAACATTAACGATGGCTTTGCTCGGTTTGACAAATCAGCTGGTTAAGAAATTTCTTTGATTTAATGAGATCCATACATTGATTACCTTACTCAAAATATCCTACAATCTGACTTTTATCCTTAGCCAAAATAATCCACCCTATAGATTAATATCCTATTTATCTAACACAAGTATCATGTAACAGTAATATTATCCTATTACATACGCCTAGAAGTCTAATGTGGCTTCTTTTCCGGAGGATTACCGATCAAAATATTGTACACATTTTACTTTTCCCCCATGCGTGCTACATGCCCAAAAGATATATTTATTTTTCTTGACGTCGTCGAATAACGATTGTCAGGGCATAGTCCATGGAGGTTTCCAAGTGATATATGACTCTACTGTCTATGAAAATAAAGTTTTAAGATTAATTCTCAACATAATAATAAAGTCATATCGACGGAAAAAATGTTACGAGTTTTGCACCCACACAGATACATAATATTACATTGTATGCAAGCACTCTTAAAAACAAAACTTAATTTCAAAGCCCTAACAGACCGTAAAAGACATAACAGCATTTGTAACAAATTACAATGCGGTTATTTGAAGAAAGTTACCTCACTTTATAAACTACTTTAATTGTCTTGTATAATTGTCGAACTAAACTTTCAGTTCTCATTTCCTTCCATGAAATAAATGGAGTCAGAAATGTTAAACGTGTAACCATAATTAAATCAGTCTTTTGCTTTTATCCAAAGTAAAATTAACCTTTAATTTTATCCCTTGCCATTAGCTGTGTATTTCAATGGAATCAAAAACTTTTTCTTCATCCAACCTCTCCTGCCTTTCTCTTTTCCGACATAAACTTTTCTATAATACAACGCAACATTCATTAGTAAAACTGTAATCAAAGAAAATGTTAACTACAAACTAACTAGTTAAAACGTGTAATAAACAAGCATAACGAGATTGAAATTCGAATTTTAGGCTTTGTGACGGAGGTAGGACTCGGTTTAATACGGCTTTATTCCTAAAAAAAGAAAGCGTACACGCAAAGTGGAAGACGTATTACAAATGGGATTGGTTGTACGGAAATGCAAAGTACAAGCCGATAATGGTGATGTTAGAGTGAAGATAACAGGGTCGATTGTGGAACAATTTTCTCTCTTTTCCTTTCTTTTAATTTCACCCTCCATTTGATACGTTCATTACTTTGCGCAAAGCTGGGTGTTGAAGATAAAACAGCGTTGTTTTCTGGCAATCGCTCGATCTAGCTACGTGCATTTTAAAGTTTCGGCCCATTTGCTTCATGCAAGGCCACACTGGTGTTTCTCGTCACAGTGATCGGACCTTCAGCACAGAATTACACACTGGACTTCCGAATCGATTATTTCCAAATGTGTTTTGGTTCGTGTCTTCGGTTACTTAATGGTCATGGAGAAAATGTTGAACTGGCCTGGTCAGTCTTCAGAATGCGTGTAGAAGAGACGTCCACCAGACATGTTGAATAAGCGTCAGCAAATAGCTGACAGTGATCATCCGGTTTGGAACCTCCACATGGATAACAGCCCCCCGTAAAAGCGTAGTGAGTTACGAATTATCAACAAGGAACTAATCCTGGACACATCTGACTGGAGCCAAGCAAAACACATAAACATGCGCGAAATTTGAACTATGAGTCCACTTCACTGGAATGAGCTGAAATAATTTACATTATAAATTGCAGTTCAACGTATCTTTACAAACACTGTTGCTGTTGTTGTTGGTAACTTACGACTGCGTATCATGCAGTGACGAAATGGGAGTAAGGAGATACATCTCCGGCAGTAGATGGAAATGAGTAGTCAGTTTCACGCTCTGGGCGAATCAAACACGACAAAATTGTCCCTGATTTCCGTTGGATAGGATGTTCATATGATGACATTATTGACATTGTAGACATTACAGTCTCGGAGTGACTGTCACTTCTGGTAATCGAACAGAGGCCCTTAAACCCCAAACCACTTTATGATGACATTATTGGCATTGTAGACATTGTAGACATTACAGCCTCGGAGTGCCTGTCACTTCTGGTAATCAAACAGAGGCCCTTAAACCCCAAACCACTTGACGATATTAAAACCATGAAGCACTCACACGCGAGAAGAAACAATCTCGCAGCTTGTCAATAAATTCCAACCGAAATGCAGAGGATCAAACCCATCACCGCTTAAGGACTTCCAAATAACCTTCCAAGACTTCTCCAGGATTTCTCCAGCAATACACCATGACAAAATATTACGTTTAACGTTTCAGGATTTCTCCGACACTACACTAGGGCTCTTCCAGGATTTCTCCACGAATTTTTCTGGAATTCTACCAGGATTCTCCAGCACTTCTCCAGGACATCCCTACGACCACACGACGAACACGACAGAAAAACTCCAGGAAAAAACAAACCAATATAAAACATTTTAACCCACCCTTATCTTACCACACTTAACTAAACCGAACCTAACCTAACTTAACCTAACCTAACCTAAATTAAGCTAATACAACCTAACCAAAGTAACTTATACCAATCAACCTTAAACGAATTTAAAATAGCCGACCCGCATCGGATCAAACCCACCACCGCTTAAGGATTTCCAAATAACCTTCCAGGACTTCTCCAGGATTTCTACTGGAATTCTCCAGGATTTCTCCAGCAATATTCCATGACAAAAAAATTCCGAATTACGTCTCCAGGACTTGTCCAAAATTCCTCTAGGACTTTTCCAGGATTTATCCAGAAATCTCCCTATAATTCTCCACCATTCTCCAGCACTTCTCCAGGACATTCCCACGACCACCCGATGAACACGATTCATGTTCTCCAGGACAACACAACAAATCCTAATCCTAAGTAACTTATACCAATCAAACTTAAATGAATTCAAAATAGCCGACCCGCATAGCATCAAACCCACCACCGCTTAAGAATTTCCAAATAACCTTCCAGGATTTCTCCTGGAATTCTCCAGGATTTCTCCAGCAATGCTCCATGACAAAATATTTCCGAATTACGTCTCCAGGACTTGTCCAACACTACACCAGGACTTTTCCAGGATTTCTCCAGAAGTGATCCTGGAATTCTCCAGCACTTCTCCAGGACATTCTCACGACCACCCATTGAACACGATTCATGTTTTCCAGGACAACACAACCCATCGTAAAACAACATTATATAACCTACCCTTA